TTATCCAAAATTTTATAATTCATAAAAAACTATTTTAAACTTAGTTTAAATTTATTTGAAATTTTTTTTAATTAATTTGAATTTATTCCAGCGCTTTGCGGTAGTACGAGAGACTGCATTGGCGACCAGCTTTGCATCAACGGGCTCTGCCAGCCAACTTGCAAGAGCAATTCCAGCTGCCCTGAGTACCAATACTGTCACAATAACATTTGCGTACAGGAATTGCGTTGTCTGTCAGACGACGATTGTTCCTATGACGAGAGATGCGTCAAGAACAATATTGGCCAGGCGGAATGTCGCAAGGCTTGCGACTTGATTCTTTGTGGGCGGAACGCGGAGTGTAAGGCGGATGACCATGTTGCTCTTTGCTCGTGCAAGTCGACTTTCTTCGGAAATCCAAAGGATGACAAAATCGGATGCCAACCCATTGAGTGCGAGACTAACGACGATTGTAGTGGAGAGAAAGTCTGTGACACGCATAAATGCAGAATTGCATGTCTGGCCCACAATCCTTGCGGCGTTAATGCTATTTGCACCGCGGAAAGACATACTCAGGTGTGTATTAAGTAACTGATTTATTATTAAGTTTGTCTTTTACATTGCCAATGATTTTAGATCTGCACTTGTCAACCGGGCTACACTGGCGAACCGACTCACGGATGTCAATTGATCGACTACTGCTTGAACGAACCCTGTGCCCCGGGTGCTGTTTGCGAGAATTCCAGAGGCTCTTACAAATGTCACTGTCAACAAGGCATGGTTGGAGATCCTTACAACAGCGGCTGTCAGCCACCGGTCGAATGCTTGCACGATGAGGACTGCCCATTGACTGCCAAATGCATAAGTGTTAACAACGTGCCTAAGTGCTCAGGTACGAAACTTTACATTCATCTTTTAATATTTCATATATTTATGATATATAGACATCGATACAATTTTTTTTATAAATGAGTAAAATCTTTACTTCAGTGATTATAATAATTAATTTTATATACGCTAATTAATCGAATTTAATCATTCTCATTAAATGTTTCAGATGTTTGTTCACGCACGCAGTGCGGACCGAACGCGGACTGCACGGCCGCTAATCATGCTGCTGCCTGTCAATGCCGATCCGATTATGAGGGTGATCCCAACAATCTCAGTATAGGCTGCCGACCCAAACCTGTCGTTTGTTCCTCAGCCACAGACTGTTCCACTAATACCTATTGTTACGAGGGCATCTGTCGACGTGAGTATTCTCAAGAGCCTAAAATCCACTTGGAAGGGTCGATTTTTATGACCGGGCGAGCAGGTAAGTCGGATTTGGTTCCTGCTCGCTAGCCTGAGTAGCGAACTGTTCACATCCAGACATTTTGCAGAGGAAATTTCATATTTTGTATGTTTTAATCATTTATTATTCAAAATAAGTTAATGTGAATGAATATGAAAAACATTTCCCCTCTTTTTTTTTATTCTACTCTCTCTCTTCTTTTGTTTCTTATTATGTGTCCGAGGATTCATGTACGCGATTCGTAGGTTTATTTTCTCTTCGGTACGCGGTAGGTCATAAAACGAGCCTTTCAAGTGGATATAGCGCTACTGTAACCGGCCTGGCGAGCATTCAACTCGCTAGCCACGTGAAAAATTCTTAAGAAGAACTCACTTCTGAAGAAATTGTTATCGTAAACGAAAGCAATTTGTAATTCTTGCAGCGTTCTGTCAATCGAATGAGGAATGCAATTTATCAGACGTGTGTCTCAGTGGACAATGCTTGGATCCGTGCAGTGTGAGAGCCGCGTGCGGAATGAACGCGGAATGCGACGTGAGAAGTCACATTAAACAGTGTAGCTGCCCGCCTGGGTTCACCGGAAACTCGGAGGTGGAGTGCGTTAGACGTAAGTTAAATAATAATTAATTACACAGAATACGAAATATTAATTATAATAACATATCAAGTGAATGTCAATTCTTTTTCGAAATTTTCTTTGCATTCCATTTAGCAAATTAATTCACTTAACTATTAAAAAAATCTCGGGTTTTATATATCGATTTTAAAAAAATTATTCAGTTTTAAATAGTATTAGTTTAGTTTCGCTCTTTACTGTATAAATATAAAATTTTTACAAAATAAGCTATCCTTCGATCTTCTAATAATTTATTCTTCTAGTGCCAGTGTCCTGCAGAGACACGACCGACTGCAACGACGGAAACACCTGTCGAGACAACGTGTGCCTCCCGATCTGCTCCAGCGACAACGAGTGCGCGTTCAACGAGAAATGCGTCCGCGGCAACTGTCTACTGACTTGCAGACTCGACAACGACTGTTTCCTTGGCCACATCTGTTTGAACAATATGTGCACGTTCGGTTGCCGCGCGGACGAAGACTGCAACGCGAACGAGGGTTGCATCACGAACAAGTGCATCAATCCTTGCGAAGCCACCCCCTGCGGACCGAACGCCAAGTGTACTGTAGTTAACCAACGGGCCACTTGTTCGTGTCCCGCTGGTTTCATACCGAACCCGACGGCCAAGGTCGCTTGTTTAAGATCGCCAGGACCAGTGTGCCAAGCGAATAGAGACTGTACAACAGGCACTGCTTGCATCAGAGGATTCTGCACACCTGTGTGCTCCACTGATTTGAATTGTCTGAGCAACGAGCGTTGTGATCCTACGGGCGTCTGTAAGTCGCTGTGCAGGAGGGATGAAGATTGCAGGAGCGGCGAGATTTGCGAGGGACTGGTTTGCGTGATTGGTTGCAGAGCTGATGTTGAGTGCCAAGAGAATTCTGCTTGCTTAAATAACCAGTGCCAAGGTAAGATTCTTATATAATAATAATTAAAAAGTAAAAAAGAAATGAATAACATATTAGCAGTAAATTAAACGAAGTATACAGTTCCTAATAATTAAACTGTGAACTTTTATGCAAAATAACATATGTTTTCCCAATACCA